GATGTTATTTCTTTTGATTACTTAACTTGACACTAAGTCGTCTAAATTCTTCCCAAAATTGCTAAACACGCATTACGAGATTCACTTTTAGTACACTAAAAACCCTGTTAGCGTATTCAAGGTACTGCAAATTTTTATTTACCGTTAAAATTCCTATACAATGACTAGTTGTATACTCACTCAGACTTAGATTGACCTTTTTCTGACAATTTTGTAACCATTACAGTTTTTATAAACATTTCACGAGTAAATTTAGCATTTCGAAAGGAAATAATTATTTCCAGGAATTGTTTCAGTATGTCATTCATATATTACTATATTTCCAGTGCATTACCAAAAACTCCTACTCATTCAATATTTTTCAATATTAAACAAATCGTTTCGTGTAATTTTTCTCTTTATAAGGTTCCTAAATTCCCAAAGCCACCGATAATCGGACCTCCACCTAACCTTCCAGAGTCTGACCAGGATTCTCGTCAAATCCAACCACCTGCACAAATACCTATAGAATCCGATGTTTTAGAAAATGCAAAAAAGCTTCCTATTTCTAAAAATCTTTCGCCAATTGCAGCTTTCAAATATGGAACACTTATTTCCAAGGAAGAAATTCAAGGTGGCGTTCCTGCAAATAAGGCAGTAGCCTCTATGCGAGATAAGGTTCGAGAGGTAAGCTATAGATCTACGGTTTTGCTATTCATACACCGTTACATTAATTGAAATGTTTCAGACACCAAAGCACAAAACATATTGACGAATGGCTTTTAAAATGTGATTTTTCTCTATCCCTAGTTCACTTCAGAGATTTAGTTCTCAACATTTGCTACTCGATACCAGTCATTTTCGCGAGATCCTACTTTCAAAATTCTTCAAAATGTTCCCAGTATATACTGTTTTTCTTAAAACGGATTTGGATATTTATATTTCGCATTGTTTTTAGCACCATTTGCATTATTAATACTGTTCTATTCTTATGCCGTTAATGTTTGAAACCTTGAAAGCTTATTTATGACATTCAATTAAAACCTTTGGCCGTTACTAACTCCCTCTATCAAAAGTGATATATATTTTTGCTCCATACTTTTTTTCACCATCTTGTGTTAATAAATTTTTGTAGACTTGCCAGGAAATATACAATTCCACCATACCTTACATACTGAAGTAAACCAGTTGTTTAGATGACCGTGATCACATTTGAAATCGCAAGTCTATTTAAGCTAGACCACCGTAGAAAACGGGGAAACACTGGATTTCTGTTTAATGTAAATAAAACAATCTTTTGATTCATCTTGTGTTGATTGTCTGAATCTTCCCATTGACGCTTAGGACTTCAATTGATCAGTCTCTCTTATTGTCAGATGTTCATTCTGTGCGGATTGACTCGATATTTTCTTAAGTCACAGGCATTATAATGAATGGTGGCTAACAGGGGACTCATGTTTCGTTCTACTTGTATGTACCTTTATCAAACTTCACCTCACTGCATAAGCTGGTGGCTATTAGGGCTCAGTAGTGAATTGGATAACGCTATAACGTTTCAGGCAAACGGTACTGGGTTTGAGTCATGGAGTGAGCGTCAACTCTGGAGTCGAGGCAAATCAAGCTGATGACCCCCAAGTAGGACGGAACGGGCGTCGTGAATTCAAATACTAGCTACCATCCATCTGTTTACAAAACAATCTCTTATCTGCTAGATTTGAAATGTGTCAGGAACTCATTGTCTCTTGTTTTGTTTTTTCTGTGTCACTAGTCATCAAACCTGTGTTATTTTAAATTTTATTTTCTGTGTAAAATTTATTACCTATTTACACATTAACTTGACATTTTCGTTCAATTTTAGTCAGTTAAAAAACACATTTCATTTATAATAAAAGAAGGGTTATCTATATATTATCTACGATGAATTTATTCAATTCATAAATATATATGTACAATCATTTTTCTAAAAGCTTTAATATATCTATAAAGGTAGCATTTTAATTAACTCATACAATTATACATACTATTTAAACACAGAAACTTGATCATGTCTATAAATTGGTACAGTATTTTTAAAAGTCCACAGAATATACATTGTTACTGTTATTATTGCAAAATGGTTTTTTATTCAATAATAAAATAATCGAGAGGATATTATCAAGTGTTTATGATTCCCCAGGTGATATATTCTACGTGTAATCATTGTAATTGTATAAGTATAATAAAGCTTTCATGGTTAAATTCAGTTTACTGATAAAATTACTGTAGAGGAACTTGTTGAAGTTTCCTAGTTTAAAGAATTATGGCTTGAATTGTACATTAGACTATAAACATCCATTTGCTGCCAAGTTCATTTTGTGATTATTTAACAAAATTGCTATGTAAGTTTTTCCATACCATATAAACCAATCTCCTTCCTGTACTCGTATATTCTGTTCCATTAGATGGAAATGTACGTGCGTACGTTCGTAGTGTTGCTATGTTTTTGTTACAGTTTTACATTGACATATACGGTAGTAGTTGCTACCTTGGTGTAGTGGTCGGGCTTGCCTATTGAGATGAGCCAATCAGGTTATATTTGTTGGAACAATCGTTCGTCAAGATCCTACCATGCCGGGCAGGTCGGTTGGAGAGCGGAAAAACTAAAATAATCAAAACCAATGTCTGAGGGTGAAGTCGTACTGTTGACTATACAGAGGTGTGATGGAAGTAAGGTGTTTCCTTCAGACAACCTGCATAACAGCGATACTACCTTCCCACAAATGAAGGGTGGGGTTAGAGAAGGTCGACCCTTAAAATGCACACTTCGCCTTATCCCACGCGCACCGTCTCCGACGGTACGGTCCGAACAAATACGGAGCTGGCACGAAAACTACTCACAAAAAGGTCGTGTGTGACCGACCCCAAGCAGCTGTTCGTTGAGCACTGCGGTCATGCTCTCAGGTCACTAAGCCCAACTCTAACCCGATTTCCTTTTCAGGTACCTCCAGAATAACCCTTCCACAGTGTGAGCAACCGGGAAGTGATAACCGCCCTCATACCTCTAACAGCACTCATGACCACTGTAATAATAATCTATCTCCCTCTTCAATTCTTGTTATTTCTCCTACGTCGACTCTCAACCCTAAACCTCCTTCTTTTGACTTCCTCCTCATGTGTTACCATAGCCAACGATTCTAGTGCTCAAAACACTGTCCCAGGTCTACTGAAACCTCGGTCCAAACTACACATTGAAGCGTTGAACTTACGTACCCTGTGTCGAATCTGCCAGCAAGCCTTTTTGGCTAAAATCCTAAAATCTCATACGATTGATGTATATTGTGTCTCCGAAACACACACACAAGGTAGTAGCACTAAGTATGACATAAGAGCAAGCATTTTCAGAATGAAACCCTGTTAACGGTTACCTATGTGCTGTTCGGCTAAATGACCTCGGAAGGATAGGGACACACGTCGTTGCCTTTTCTTCACTTATGGCCACGCTTCCACTTGCTTTAGACTGAGCACCCGAGCAGTATCACAAGCCACACACAAATCAAGTGACTTGCGTGGCGCATATGTATTCGGTGCCCCTTTGTACCAATATTTATGTGTTCAAATAAATAAACCTCAAGGGGTGTCCGACAAGTCTTTCGACTATCTTCATTTTTGTTCAATTTCACCATAGACCTACTACTTGAAATAAGGTTCCCGTCGATTGAATTTTCAGGAATTAATTCCCTTCCAGGAGGTCCACTTGTCGACTTAGAATACACTAGTGACATAGTCGTGTTTGGTGAAGACGCTGATGAAATGCAGTCTTTTGGTAGCACTGAGCAACAGTGTAAGGATGTTTGGGATCCGTTTCTCCTCCTCTAAATTCAATTTGTCGCTTCAGAACTTGCCCGTTTAAAGCGTGATTGTTATCTATATTAGTTTTCCGTTTCAAATACTAATAATTGACTAATAACTAAAAGCAGAAATTACTCCATCTTTTAACATCATGTCTCATGTATCGACACTTCTATTGTAGACGTGATCAAGATTTACTAATTGTTCGTATTATTTTAATGGAATCTTACAATTTATCTATCAACCAACAAAATTAATCTTTATTGTAATGTTCTTACTAACTCTTCTGTCTTCTGTTTCTTTGTGTGTATTCGAAAATATTTTTAAAGTATATCTTTACTCGTAAAATGCTTTATGATATTTGTTAATATCAGGTAAAATTATGAATAATTCTTTACTGCTCGGTCCTTTACTTTTTACGGTTGCTGAACTCAAGCTACTATCATTTATAATTTCATTCGAGCATATTCGTGTGCGGAAATTAAACTGCATGGAATATAATATCTGTTCTAGTAAGGCTATGCAAAGTACGCGTACTTATAATGCGTTACCCAAGTATAATTACTAGGTAAATTAAAAAGAAACTACAGTCGTTCAGACGTCCACAAGTAGTCAGTTATGTCTGTGTTACACAACTTTACTGTTTATTTTAAGGAAAAATTGAAAAACAATTGCAATCTGATTAAAATGTATATAGTACATTTGGGAGTCATAGATCGATCTTTACAAAATTTACTGCCTTACTGTTTTGTCTCTGAATTTATATCAGCTTTTATCATTAGCTTAGCATAAATATTGAAATTTTCCAAATGTTGTTGCCCCATCTTGTACAGTTATCGATCTTCAGCCCCCTGTATTTGTTTATGTAATTATGCTTTTAAAGTCTGGATTCTAAAATTATTGAGGATTATAGAGTATATTTTCAAGTTGTAATCCATTTTGTTTGTGTATTTTTTTGATAAACTTTAGATGATGAAGTTTGCTTGGAATGGTTATGTTACCTATGCATGGGGAAGTAATGAATTGAGACCGTTTTCAAAAACTGGCCACTTACCCTATGTACTTGGAAATGAACCACTCGGGGCTTCCTTAGTCGATAGTTTGGATACTTTGTACATAATGAATTTGAACAAAGAATTCAACACAGCTGTAGAATGGATAGAAATGAATCTGGATTTTAACAAAGTATCTATTTTTGATTCTGTCATTTTATATACATTTTTGAAATGCATAGAAACTTTCTTAGCTTTAAGTATAAAAAGTAATGAATGAAATTGAATTAATCAAAGCCATAAAACTTATTTATATAATGCAAGATGTATTTTAATAACCTTTGTTATGATTTATCGAAGTAATTTTGGTTAATTGTCCCTTCCTGCTTGAAATTCATAAGCTTAAATGTTTTGTTGTGGTCAGTTTTATCATTAGAACTCAGCATTCACCATCTAAGATACCAAATCATCCCTTCGATTATGGATCATCAATGTTCACATTTTAGTGAAGAGACAGCACATTTCATTATGACTTGTTTTATTTTCGTTTATTTGATCCAATCGATTGAATTTATCACAATAAGTTATGTAAAATTCATCCGTTTGAAGTTCAACTTACAGTGTCATTCTAATTTTTGTTTTATTGTAGCTGCATAACGCTAATTTATAAACAATTATAATCTGCCTGCAAATAGTGTAACCCGTTCATTCGTCAGTAATAAAGTGTTATTCTCTGGATTAGATTTTATCAGTTACTCATAATTTGTGAAAGCACGTAGATGTAATAAGTAAATATATTTATATATACCTGATATAAACTAGAAAAACATTTAAAAAAGCGAATACAGTGAAATGACTATTATCAACAAAAACAATTTTCACAATTTTATGTGATGACCAGTTTGAAGAACAAACAAACACAAAGTTATTCACTTCTCTTATTTTATGCAAATAGGTGAATGCTGTGAATTCATTTGAATTATCTTTATAGATTTTATATTGTATTTAGTCCAGTACATACACACTGTTACTAGTAGTGATAGATACACTTATGTATTTCTATCACATGAACTGTAGTATGTTCATACTTTGGGTTTTCTTATACAAACTTTAGTAAGTTTATAACAATAATAATAATAATAGTGAAAACTAACGATTAGTGTACAATTTATTACTTAGTAATAACAATAATGCTTAGTTTTTGTTTTTTCTTTAAAATTTATATTACAATGGCGTATACAACTAATTATAACTCTGATAGACACTAAAGACCAGAACCTAAATTGTTCACAGAAGTTATTGTTATATGTATTCTCTGGTTATTAAAAAAACCATCACAGTAATCATAAGTGATCAGAGAATTGTTCGTTTTAATTATATAAATAAATTCAGCAAGGAAGTTAATTCAATGGATTAAGGTGAATAATAATGCATACTTGATTGTTGTAATATGATGTTAACTATGTGGAAATGTCGACTGTTGTAACCTCATTTAAGATATTATAAAGTCGTCCAACTGTGTTTGTGAAGGTTAGATTCTGCTGCTTAGCAATTCGTTTCGATTTTCTTGATAAACTGTCGAAGAATTGCATAGTTTCAAGATATCTCCCCCGAAAATGTTAAAACCACCGATTGATCAGTAACTTATTAGGGACCGTTGTGACTTAATGTTTAGACAACGTAGTCAGTCAGTAATAATCCTGTTTAGTAGCTCTTTATTATTATCATTTCCTGTGAAAAATAGCTAATTATTTGCTCATTGTTTTTATATCTTTCTGATAAATATTTTATTTGGTGTGTTTTGTTCAGTTTTTTTTCTGCGTGTTATAAGTATTTAGTTTTCACGGAAATTATATCTATCACCAATTATACAGCTCATTCAGACATCGATCAGTATGCTCACAATATCTATGCTTCAACTGATAGATGAACTTTTCGACTCAAGCTATTCAGCATCCAGACATCTACTTATAACAGATGTTTTAACTAGTGCATTGTCACCACTCTGCCTCGTTTTACCGCATTATATTTAGGTAGATATGGAGAAAAAATCATTTGTATACGTGGACTTTTTTACTCATCATTAAGATTGTGTAGTAAATTAAAATTATGTTTATACTTTAAAATTAAACTGCATCATCGCACCATTTCATCTTATGTGAGAAAAAGTTGTTGTAATTTAACTGTCAACAAATTTATTACTCTATATAATATTTGAGATTTTAAATACTTAATTCATTCTTTGTACTTTGAACTTTTCCTTCACAGAACACTCAGGTGTCCGTGTTTGAATTCAATATTAGGTATATTGGTGGCCTGCTGTCTGCTTACACGTTCAGTAGAAAACCTGTAGGTTTATTTTAAATATAAAAGTTATTTTCCACATTGATTGATGTCCGGTATAAAAATAATCTCATTATCATTATTACTATCTCGTGAAATAGTTACATTTTTTGTTCGTAGGAGTTTTTATGGGGGTTGATTTGGTTTGTATGTAGATTTCCTTGCAGACTGATCTCATATAGAGTACCATTAAAAATTATCAAGCACTGAAGAGTTTTTTCATCCCAGTCCGGAACTCCTTAGTTGGGTACACACACGACCCGACTAAGTGGCCGAACCCAGAACCTTCAATCCTCCTACTAAATCCTGAAATATTAGAGCTTATAGAGTGCAGTCATGTCGGGAGTGAAACAGTTGTCACCAGCAGCATTGGATAGTCATCGTTTTAGATCTCAAATCACACCAGTTGTTACTAAACGTTTTATGAGTTTTGTGAAACACCATTTATTTTATTTATTTATTTGAACACATGAATATTGGTACAAGAGAGCGCCAATATATATGCGCCACACAAAACAATGAGAATTCGAAGAGAAATAGAAAAAAAGCTAAGGAGCGCAAAAAAAAAGAGAACAATAACGAGGAGATTGGTGTGAGGTAGTATGGTAGAAATGAGGGAACGGAAAGGTGCAATCAGAAGAAATCTTTCATGTAAGGGAGACACAATCACTTTTTATGAAGAAAGTAAAAGAAGATTACAGCAGGATCGCCACTGGCTTCTATTCTCAGCCATATCTGATAACGTCTCTAGCCACTGTGTAGCACCATCTCTCAGACCCCAACCAGAGAGTCGTGAAGGACCGACAGAAGCCAGTCCTCTGCAGCTTTCTTCCATGCCACGACACCATGTCATACACTGACCACCTCTCCGCTTCTTCCAACCAGTCCCAGAGTCGGCAAATAATGCACGACGTGGAATTCTCTGGGACGACATTCGGAGAACATGTTCAAGCCACCGAAGTCGGTGTTTCAAGATGGTGACACCAACTGAATTATCATCTCTGTGCCCGAACACACGATGCCGAACCTCTGCATTACTGACACGGTGTTGCCACTGAATGTCAGCAATCCTTCGGAGACAGCGATGATCGAACACAGAGAGTCGTCTAACGTCCTCAACTCGGAGAGGCCAGGTTTCACAAGCATAGAGCAAAACTGCTCTCACCGACGCGTTGTAGATCCGACCTTTTACATCTAGACTAACATCATGAAGGCGCCAAAGATGGCCCAGATTGGCATAAGCCGCTCTGGCTTTCACTATACGTGCATTGATCTCATCACTCACACCCCCACCAGCACTTATGCCGCTACTCAGATACACGAACTTCTCGACTACGTTTATCTGCTCACCATCCAGGGTGAGTACAGGATTGGAATCCTGCCAGTCTTGTAGAAGTACTTTGCACTTCGAAGGTGCAAAGCACATACCGTACCTACGGACACTGATTGCCAACTGATTAAGTGCGGATTGCATGCCTTGGGCATTATCGCACAGTAAGACAATATCGTCCGCATACTCAAGGTCGAGAAGTCTTTCTCCAGGCAGCAAATCCACAACACCATTACTTACATCCATCAGAGATGTTTCCAGAATGTCATCGATGGCAAAGTTGAAGAGGAATGGTGAGATTGGGCAACCCTGCCTAACCCCACCGCTCGAATGGAACAATGGAGAAAGGTGGTTTTATGCCCTCACTACCTGAGATGTTTGTATATAGGGCTTTTAGGATGTTAATAAACTTCTCAGGCACACCCTTCTTCAATAGACAATCCCAGAGAACAGTCCTATCCAACGAATCGAAGGCAGCCCTGATGTCAAGAAACACTACGATTGTTGGCCTTTGATAAGTATGACGGTGTTCTAACATTTGGCGGAGGGTAAAGATATGATCAATACATCCTCGACCAGAACGAAACCCAGCCTGCTCCTCGCGAGTCAATCTTTCTCGGGTTTTGAACAACCTACGAAGTATGACGGAAGCCAATAGCTCGGAAGTAGACTTATCCCTCGATAGTTGTTACAGGAACGACGTGAACCATTTTTAAAGATAGGGACAACTATCGACTCATTCCATGACTTTGGTAAACTCTCTAGTTCCCAAACCTTTGTAAACAACGTCGTCAATTCCTTAGTCAGAAAGTCACCACCATCTTTAAAAAGAGCCGGAGGTAAAGTCATCTGGGCCAGGTGATTTGTAACGCTTCACTTTTCGTCTTCTCATTTTCGTAAACAACACCCCCGCCACGAAAAGGCAATGAGTAGGACTTCCCTGACAGAGGCTGTATACACGTGGCCATGTGAGAGTATTTCGAGAGGGAGAGCGGCCGTACCAAGTCATTTACAAATCGAACTCATCTCTCCATAAAGTCTCATTAAAATAGTTACTGTGTAGTGGAACGTGGTATCGATTTACCAACAGTTGTCAGACAGAGTGAACAGTTTCGGTGCATCGAAAGCACAGCATTCGTAGTAAACTTGAAGGCCAGTCGAGAAGATAGTTCAGATTACAAGACACAACGAAAGATGAGAATGAACAATTGAAGGCTATATGTATGTGCTATGTAAATAATTTGTAACTTCTCTCTATAAATATGCATACCTCCTGCCTATTGTCTTGTTTTTTCGATTTTATCTTCACAGCACGGATTAGCTTCAAGATAGATTTATCAGCATTCTACTACGACGCTGTCGTCTATGTAGTCATGTTATGATTGCTTTCTGTGGGAGTTATTTACTAATAATAACATTGGATAATAGTTACACTGTATCATAAACTTGCTGGAGTTTCTTTTTACCCCACACTGGTACACAATAATTATTATCTAAAAATGAGTATCAAGTATTGATGGAAAACAATCGCAAATTTTGTATTCCATTTAAAAATTATTTATTTCCTACTCTTCCAATTTCATGCTTTTACTTATTATTTAGCGCACGTTACTCGCTCTTGTTGTTTTATCGTTTTGCACTTTTTTGCAGATTTATTTGTTTACAAGTGCATTAAAGGAAGTAGGGATATCCTAAGTCAAATGTATATATATATATATATATATACTAGTTAATACATTTAATTAATAAAGTGTATATTTGTACATCCATCAAGTGAACTTTTTACATATTTTTTACTGTTCGATAGTAAAACATAAAAACTATTAACTAATGCTTTCTAATTTTTTATACTGATAATATTAAGTTTTCAGTAATCCCCCGGTTCACCATCATATCAGTTACTTTCATATTGTACTCCTTACAAAAACTACCTTAATTCATAACAGTAATTATTATGACGTGCTTGACCCTTTAGTTTAATTGAATAAGTTAGAAAATCTTATGTCTTATACACAACCATATACATCTATTGTGTCTTTCCAGTCGAGTGTTTCTCATACACATGATTTTCATTTAGTAATTATCATGAATACCAAAGTACGTATAATTTATTTATCTAATACGTAGAGATGTAAATGCATTCATATTTGTACACGTTATTTTTCAAAAGTGATTACTATCCACTTTCAAGTCATATTATATTGGTTTACATAATAAATCACTCATTGTACGCAACTGCTTCTCAAAATCATTCAGCCTTCTGTGTTCTAACTACTTTTCGTTGATAATATCTACTGATTGTAATTGGAATTAAGTCAAATCAGTAGTTTAAAATGTTATCAAAACAAAACGAGGTATTGTCATTCATAGTCTTCTAAATGTTAAACACTACACTTCTTTATATCGGTACCTCTACATTCTTGTCATTCCTTAGAAAATTTATCTTCATTAATTTTAGGTGATGCTATTGTGAGCTACCTTCTCTCTCTGTCAACGTACTTTCATAAAACTATGTTTTGTTTCATATTTGTCTTTCTGTCCAAGTGTTGTTTTTTCTCTGATGCAAAATTCAAAGTTTTCTTAGAATAATATGTGAAAAAAATTTTCTACCTATGTATTATAAGTGGCCAAGATTATACTGGACAAAATTGTCATAAATAATCATTATTAATTCATCTTGGAAAAAATTAGTTATATTTGTTTTCATGATAGAATGTTGTCATAACATACACTAAGTAATTCATAAAATTTTATCGGCTAAAGAATAACAAAACTAAACCCAAACTAATTGTTTCCAGGTTAATTTTATCCTAAAAAGGACTGGACTTGTATTCACAAACAAAGTACTCTTCGCTCTAAATAAAGGTATTAAACCGTCAATACGAAGAACATATGTGTTTCGTTCATCAAAATGCCTTTCATTTACCATTACTGTTTATTGTACTTTACAAAAGTAATCCACCAAACATTAGAATTTTCATGCTTAACACAAATTATGTTTCCGCTTTTAACACAGTGGACTAAATATACTATGAACTCCCGATGATACTAACATATCTATCATCTTATCCCCCTCATTTGTCGATATGTCTTCTGTGATTCAAACTAAACTTTTTGAAATGAAAAATATATGCACTGTTATCCTTCTTACTCTTTATTCTCAGTAGCATAATAAATTAAACAATCTGAGCATATCCTATGTTTTTGTTTTTATATAAACAAGTAGTATGATTTGCATAAAATAAATAATTTGACTAAATCTAAACCAATCGTTTCACTGGGATTTTGATTAGTTTATAACTGATCATTCAGATTGTAGAATGAAATCCTTTCCCTACTATCACAACTGACCATATAGCAATTCTTAACTAAATAATTCATTTTGCCGTTCTAAATTTATTATCTCGAGATGCTATTCATTTTGTTTGTTTGTTTTTTAACTTTTAATCATAAATATTATTGTGGTTGATCGATTATTTATTTGTTTGTGCATGTCTATCTTAATAAGCATGTTATAACTGTGATACACGTTGTTTATTCGTTCTGTTTTGATCTCATTTTCTTTATAGCAAATTATCTTTATTAGTCTGTTGTTAGCTTGTAATAGGAAACGTTTTTTAGAATAGGGAATTCATTTCTTATTAATACTCGGTATTAATAATTAAGTCAATTATAATTAGATTTCCTCCTCAGTAAATCAATGTTATATATATATATATATATATATATATATATATATATAACTATTCACGGTCAGCACTTGGTTGAATTGTATTACGGAGAATTGACTTTATCACTTGATAGTCAACTTCAAAATGTATTCCACACATTATTGTTCATCGCTATGTGAATACAATTTTTACTAAGGAAATAGTAACTGGTTGTTTATAACCCTTGATTTTAATACAAATGTTTTTGTGTGGCTATTACAGTTCAATATTTTCCTAGTACGATGAAAACCGCTAAAATTTAACATACACATATCTGCAACATAGATGTTCACTTCACTGCAGTACTATTTCCCAGCATATTAATATATGAGCAGTTCTTCAATACATTTTGTCCTACTTTGTTTATATCAAACTCGACAACTTCAGTTCAAAGGCACATACATTAAATAATAATATTTATACCAATACTTTTGTCTCCGAAACTACAGTCGCATTTAGTCTAAATAAATTTCAAATACTTAGACAAAATACTGTGCTATTTCATTATGAAAACTTATGTTTGATAAATAATGTTATTCAAAAGTAAACAAGATATTTTGTTAACTCGAATGTGTTCCGTTCGGTAATCTTCCATTGCTACCGATAATAAACTTAATGACAAAAATAATTCATTGATCACTCATCTTTCTAAACATACTATTATACTTTAATTACCTCAGCTGAGTTTTAACTAGGCTACTGCGTTGTGTATAATAATTTTCATAAATCTTCGAGTTCATCACACCAACTTTTACAATTCAATAGTCTAGTCGTTTCGAACACTGATTATTTTGTAGTTTTACACTACATATTGATTTCATTAAGACAAACATTGAAAATTAGGAAGAATAAATATCTCATTCTAGTAGCTTTGAAGCCTTAAACGAAGGCCTCCAGGTCTCACAGCGATCAATTCACCTACAGATCATTGAATTGGAAACAGGTGGTTTAAATTCTTAAGTCATTTGACAATCTCACATGTCCATCATTAATTGTCATCGGTAGCATTTATCTCGTATTCCACTTGGTTATTTTAATTTTCAAGTTTAATGAATTCTATGAAGGTAAAATGTACCTTTAGAGCCTGAAATAATTCTCTGTAAAAACAGTCTTTCTGTAAACAACAATTAATTATTGTTTTATAGACATTAATTTTTCATTTTAATTCATAATAAGTGTTCTTTGTTTTTTTTCTTTATATTTATGGCCTATCTTCATTGTTGTTTGGTTTTGTTTCTTTTTACTTCAGATTTTACTGACTAAAGCGGTTGAACTTGCTCAACGTTTATTACCTGCATTTGATACACCTAGTGGAATTCCAATGAGTTTAATCAATTTGAAAACGTAAATAACAATTTGTTTTTATTTTTCTTTCTACTTATACCAACTGAAAATATTGTTTATTTGTGGTAAACATGGTGATTAAAATGATAATGTGTGCGTGCCTTCATTGTTTTAACATTTAACTCCTTGTTATGTTATATGCTTTGCTTGAAATATGCTGATGAGTGATTCAATTTTTACGATCTTATAGTTGAGTTTGTAGACACACCTGTTTACTTTTCCGTTTCAATTCATTTAATCCAGTTCATCTTTTAAAATTAGTTATATGATATTTTATTGCAGTTGTACTTTCCTTAAGATATTGTAATTATACACATCTGGAGATTTTTCAATCGAGCTCCTACATTTAACTTTACTGAACTTGATACATATTATTCGGTGGTTTAGTTCAAATTGCTCATGGTTGTCGCATTATGTGTCAGTAGTGTGAATAAAATTTATTTCTCTTCTAACCCAAGCTAACCATTCTGTAGAAGTTATTGTTACTCTTAAAATACATCATCATATAAGTGGAATTTCGTTCTCTGAGCTGCATAGTTTGGTCGTGGAGCTTGTACCTGAAGTTTGCTCTGATGATGTTGTTCAGAAGAACAATAAAAGCGCTACAAACAAGCCGTCCAGTTCAAAGAACAAAACTCTACCTAAATCATCCTCCTGAGCTAAATATCTCCACGTCATCATTTGTAGCAGGTAACAGTTTTGTAATACTTAATATACTGCTAAACACTTAAGTTACAAATTACAACTTTACGTAAATGCCCGATTGTTACATTTTTTTTAGACAAACACAAAAGTTTCACATTTAACACATTAGCAGAGTTGTATTCTTAATTTTAGTAATAATATACACTAGGTTTAATTAACTAACCGTAAAAATATACTGTTTGTTTTTCTGTCATATCGATCATGGTGTATATTTTTTCTCAAATCTAGTTCATGTACGTATTTTAGATCAATGTTATTTTGCATAAGTTTTTATGTCTGTTTATCTACATTTGTACAAATACAAATCTACACTTTAAACCTCTTATCTTTGCATCCTTTGTTAAGATACATATATTTATATTTTCTTATTTATTTAAGTATATTCTTCAGTAATATTTTTAACGAATTTTACTAATTAAAATGTTATATGAGTTTATACTGTATTAAAGGATAATCATAATTAGTTACTTGTAGTTGATCTCATTTTCTATGGTAATATGAATGTGTTCTTCCATTGGGTCTGTGTGTGCGTATATGAATAAATACATTAGTTTGCTTTTACCTGGTGGTCAGTCCTATCTACTCTACTAGTTGTACTTATTTTCGTTCTTGTGTTGTTTTACTGTTATCAGATAATTCCATGTGTTCATTATCACCTGCGGAATGAACCAATTCATGCTATTTTTTGTTAATATTGTTTATTTAAAAAGATATTTATATAAATTACCATTCTCCAGACTTTGAATGAAAGTTTGTTTTACTTAGTTTAATTTCAGAAGGTTGACAGTTATATAAAGCATGTTGCTAAAAGCCGAGTACTTTTTAAAATAATTTTTTAGATTGTAATTCATTTACTTAGTTCAAACTTACTCGATAAGCGTTACTCATATTATGCGGACAGAATCAGCCAGTCAATACTCATGTTTCTGTAATCAGTTTGAAATTCCTATCAATTCGTTTTATTCTTTAGTCATTTACATCGTTGGCCTGACTAAAGTTACTAGGCCTACATATTTGTTGATATCTTTGGACAATATATCAATCCGAATTTACTTGTAGTTAACTGAATCAACGGTTAACACTATTTCCACAAAACTCATCCGTTTCGTTTAGTGCCCACAAATATTGCTGTATTCAAAGGACTGTATGTTTCATACACTAAACACACGTTTAACGTAAAAAGTAATCTAAATAACTCTCATCTTGTTTATTCCTTTGAAAATTATTCGAAAGATCTTACCAGACTATTGATTAAAATGTTTATCATATGTTGATTCGATTATAGGTGTTTCAAATCATCATCATCACACACAATGAATGAAATTTGTGTGGTGCACATATATTTGGTGCCCCCATGTGCCAATATTTGTGTTCAAATAAAAAAATAAAGTCTCGGAAATACCACATATATTGGTGGTCCCCTGCTCTCCATACTTCTGTGTAGAGCTATTTAAATAAAACTAACTCTTTGCAAAAGTGGAAAGAATAATTATTTTGCTAAATACATCATTCTCGTGTTCTACCTACACTTAAACTATTAAGGAAAATTTTCTATCTAATATGATCTTATGAATATTCTTTTGTTATGAATTACTTTAGGGGAGGTAAGCGGAATTTTGTCTGGGCAAATGGTCAATGTTCAATTCTATCAGAGTTTGGTACATTACATATGGAATTTAAATATCTTTCTGAGCTAACTGGCAATCCGGTCTATTCAGAAAAGGTTAGTTTTCAAGTAGTTTGCTTACTTTTTATGTAAAATAATAGTGAGAACTGTCTTACCCCACCCCAACTATAACTTGTTTCCGATTGACCTAGTGTTGCATAAGTGTGCTAGAAAAAAGCAGTTTAATCATAACAGTATACAATTAACGTAATTTTCAAAAACACGTTAATAAGATCCACAACATCCTTGGTTTTGTAAAGTCATCTTGTGTTATATGTTAACTATATGATCCCAGTCCATATAATTTTTTGACCATCATGCTAACCCGATTTCTAGGTAGAATCTGATTAGCTCCATGTTGATTACCTATCAGAAATTGATCAAGGACCAAAAGTACTTAAATAATGACTCCAAATGATTACATATGAGATGAATCATGAGTTTTTTTAAGGCTAAATATTACTCTTCGTTGATTATTGTCGAACCTGTATTCAAAACATTCTGTTAATCAGTCCAATTTATGATTCTGTGCGATCTACAATTAGTTAGTTAGTTGTTATTCTTCGCATTCTAGGATACAAGACGTAGCTTATTTCAGCATTATTGAATTATCGATAAGTCACAGTTCAATTCACAATATCTTTGTCAAAGTAATTATCATCTATGATAATTATTGTAAATGCGTTGGCAATGCTATATTGTTGTATTACTGTAGGACAAACAAAATATTTTTAGTAATTCTACCTCACTAATTTTTACATTAATCATACTTTTGTTTTTCTATCGTATGTGTTTCAGTTTAATTAATACAGATTTGTTTTTTTATTTTGAAACTATTAGCAAATTGTCTTCTTTAAACTCTTGAATCCCATTTTTTTCACTACGCATGATCTCATTTAACAGAGGAGTGAAAGTATTCCACTCACATCAATAGTAAAGAGTTTATATTTGTGCCTTGTATACTAAGTTTTTTAATTGCCAAACTGCATTCCAAGTACAGCTTACATTCATATGACTGATTTTCCTTAACTTTATTCGACTTGCTTTTCTTATTTTTTTTTCATACTAAAGTTATCTACCTTGGGTTGTTTTAATTTAACGTGAATATAATCAAATTAATATCATTTCTATGCCAGAACACACATTTTTCATTGTGTTGTTGATATTTAGGTAATCGATTGATAAAATAATAATAACTACTTTTTTTATAGTTGGCATAACGATATGTTTTGCTTTTACTGTGAAAACAGTGGAACACCAATATTTAATTGTCATGTTTTCTTTCTAGTTAAGTAGTAAAATTATTAAATTTCTAGCTAAGTCTGTTTTCATTCCCTTAGTATTACTTACTTGAATCTAACCATTAATATTTAAGATTGCAGTCGATCAGTCTCTTGTTGCCATATGTGCACCCTGTGCGGAATGCCTCAATATTGTCTTAAGTCACAAGCATTATAAGCAAAGATGGATAGTGGCTGGCAGTGGAATCCAGGACGCGCGTTCCGTCTTATTTGGAACTCGTCAGCTGGATGTACCTGCATCTCGGAGTGGCCACTTGCTTGTGTCTATCAGGACTCTGTATCTAAGTAGATAACTCGATGGTGTTTAAAGCGAGCGGTATTGGGTTCGAGTCCCAGAGCGAACATCAACTTTGAGATGCAGGTACATCCAGTTGACGAGTCCCAAAGAGCCACTGTCTATCTCTGCTGATTAAGTCTGTTTTCGCCAAAATAGGTTATATGACAAGTTGATACATAGTATTTGTTTGTGAAAATATGATCATTTTTATTCGAATAAAAGTGTCTATTTTCACAAGTGTAAAATACTGTAACAATCGATTATAATAATCTTATTCATTCGAAATCAGTAGTAGTCCATGTTAATATTTCTTTTAAATAGAAAGATTGATTGACTATATATAATTTTTTTCAGTTTATTGACATGCATTTATACATCAGTAGTTATTGGATAAATGATTACTCTTATGAATTGTAAAATCGTCTTTATATTAGCAGTTAATTCATGTGTATCATTTCAATCTGTAAATAAACAGTAGGATAATCGACACGGTGGTTTTAACCTTTCATTATTAAAAATTGTTAAATGTAATAACAGTTATTTATATGGATATTGTGGTAATTTGTATAGTTTTAAGATCAATAAAACTCATATTACAGGTAGAGAATCACTTAAAACTAAGTAGAAATAAGCAGCTAGCCAACTGTTGTTATTCATATTCATGCAACCTTAACACTGTACAATCCAAATTTCCTACGTTAGATTTCATAGTGAGCATAATAACTTCTTTCAAAAATGATGTGTTGGAATCCAGTACTAGTTCAAGCCTTTCTACTTCATTCTATTGATGATACTGCATAACCTTAATCCGATGCAGTCAGTGATAACCATCTTACTGTAATGACAGTCACTCATACATAAATCGCTTAAAATCGGGCACATATCCATGTCAGTTTACGTTGCCACACCCCATTAACACGATAAGATGAAATAGTTGGGGCAAATTCCAGAGTAATTGAGGTAGTAACAGTATTAGTGGTAATAGAAAAGATTAGGCATCGAAAGAACTATTCGAGAAAAATTGACTTCATGAAATGCGAAACAAATTTATAAAGTGGCTTAGGAACCTTCAATCTACAGAAAGACAATGTGATTGCATTCGCTTCATTGCGGGCGATTTTAAGCCATCCCTCAAAAGTAGTTACTATCATTAAACAGACCCCAACCGGATAGTCCAACAGCCGATGTCTTCGTTAATTGATATCGTGTCTTAGTTTGGCCACTCTTTCAACCTACCTTTAAGCTAGCCGTTATCGCAGTAGTCGGTGATTAGGCTTACATAAAACATGTCCTGACCATCTCAGTCGATAAATATTCACTACCTTATGAATGGACTTGGGATCTTTACCCAATACCCTGTGTCTAGTACCTTACTTTATGACCTCAATATACGCCAGGAATGCCTCAAATGTATCTGCGACAAATACTGGTAACTTACGAATATCCTCTATTTTTATAGGTCACGTCTCATAGGCGTAAAGCTAAACAAAGCAAATCTCTCCACGATATACTGGTCCTTTAATTTCCAGGTGAACATCTCGCTTATGCCATAAGTTGACATAGTCAACCGACCTTTCTAAGTGTGTCGCGAGACTTCATCAGACACAAACCAACTTGGGTTTGATGAAACTTCCAAGATAAGTTAAGTGGTTGACACTCTCGACTTCTTCACTCCTTATCATTAGTTCAGTTTACATAGATCAGTACTAAAGTAATATTTCCCATTTAGAGATACAATAAAAAAATTCTATATGTATGTTTCCGTTGTGAATGTCTTGAACGATATTTGGTAATTAGTGTATAGATCAATCCAAAAATTATATACGACAATGTACCCATATGGAAGATAAACCTTTCATTGTTTTTTTTCAAAAGCGAAAAAGTCACTTTTCTTGCCATCATTTTATGTAAATGAAAAATAAAGTTAAAAATAAAAACTGTTTGTGGCATGGTACGCATCATTTTTGTATAAAAATTTACATTTTGTTTTTTTTTTCATAGTTTTTGTCTAGTAGTGATCAAAAAGCACAAGCAGTATAAAATTCTTACCACATAAAAAGAAAATAGAGAAGCGAATCACACGCAGACTTTATACGAAAATGTCCATTTCCGGTAGTTGTTTTTTAGAATGTAAAAGTTATAACTAAAAGATTGCTTCACACTTGATTGGGATTCACTGTTAGTTTTTATAATGCCGACCACCTAAGCTAATGACCGAAGAAACGCTTTTTTTTACTATGTTCAATATTTGATGTAGAATCCAGGTTTACGCTCATATAGCAACAAATTATCGGTAGTGTACTGACTGTCTGAAAATCATTCATAATAGGATCTCAGTTGTGGTTTTTTAATAATTGGATAGCTTATACAATAAAGTTAAATTCATTGTTTAAAGTAATCTAAACATGAAGTGGTGCATAAATCTAATATTTTACTCTGGTTAGTTACTCCATTAACTTTAAGGTTATATTCCTGTTGTAGTAGTGATCAACTCTTTAGCTGTCTCATTGGAAGCGAAATTCATATTTTCATAATTAAAAAAAAATAAACACCGACCAAAATGTAATGAAAATAATAATAATAAAGCGAGATTCAGTTGAAAAGAAAAATACTAAGTCGGTTGATTATCAGGACTGACTATAAAAGAATAAAGGTGACAAAATATTAGTGGATGAAATCCAATTTGTAATTTTGAATGCTACATATATATCGACTTAGTGGCATGTACTAATTAAGGATTCGACGATAAATTTTATGGTCCCCTAACTTCAATCGTGAAAGTTGATGTCAGTTAGTCATGATCAACATAGATCAAAGCACAAGCATGTGTTAGCTCAAACTGCCATACCACATCAGCAAGATGAATCGTAAATAAATCGAAATAATGTAGTAGTAGTAGTAGTAGTATTGACAATTAAAATTATGGTTCAGAAAGACAAAATGGGAAGTTATGTATAAAGTAATAAAAATACTCGAAATGTTAAGTAAAATATAGAATAGATAGACTCGCGCCATTACAACTGATTCTGGGCTGTCACGCGACGTTTCCAACCAATAATCTCAAGTATATCAGTCAGTAAGAAAAAGCATAAACAGTTTTAATGTCAGCGATCAAGTTCGAAGTAAAGGCAAACTAGATAAGCATACAAATAACGTCTATTCATAGCCGACCACAGCTAATCATATTCCTGGTCAACAGAACAAGCTGTTAGTCAGCTGTGGAGATGTTTTAGTAGCTCATATGTTTTTAAAGTTCATACTGATGATGTGGAGAAATTAATGAAAGCTTCACCACCATCCAGCTCAAGGAATACATCACTTCCAAAATATTTACCCTGCATTGAATATTTTCAGTGTTTCTTGGGGAAAATATCACAATTTCATTGTGTATATTACAGTAACTGCAGCAGTAGCACTAAATATATTTCTTATGTAATCCGTCCTGACAATCAACTGAACAGCCCATTCTTCTTCTTACATTCTATCTTATGATTATTGTGTTAGTTTGTCTCCTATTATTTAATTCCCATTGGTTTTTATGTTCAAATATGAAACTATGTACTAGTATCGGTAATCATCTCGTAACACAAAAGAACTTTGAAAGAAATGTGTAGGATCTTTAATAAGAATAATATAAGAGCACATTTCTGTGCGAACAAGATTTAATTCTTAATTAGTGAAACTAACAAAGGAGATACAATAGAGTTGTATCTACGATGTAAAATATTGCGTGTCGGATATCCCCTTGACAACCGGCGTGTTTAACATAACAGCATAAACACACGTACAGACGATACAAGAACGAAGAGTATTTGACCAAGCGATCGTTTTCAATAACTTCTTCGTAAGGCTATACAATCATAAACTGAAAATGTCAAATTTCACGTGGTTTAATTTTAAATATTACAGATGATTAACAAAACAAATTAAGATCGTGTCCACTGTAACACCATAATAACTATATAGCCTAATACTCTTTCTTCTTTAAAAAACATATAATATTGTCTAGTTACTTATTCTCGATCCATACACCCTATAAAATGCTCAATTTATGTCTATTACTAAAATTTATTTATTTATTTCTAACCCTCATAGCCTAGATTCATTTCTATGTTCAATAGTTTATAAATAAGATTTGCATACACATACATACATTTTTTTTCATTCATTACAATTTGAACATATTTCATATCAAATAGCTTATAATTTACGCTTTAAAAGTTTATAATATTCCGTATCTTAACATAATTGAATAAATGTTTAGTACATAAAATTATTTTATGAACCATATGATAATTTTCACTATTAATGTCTATAACTCATACCAAATTGTGAAATGAAAAATGCAATTTATTTTTTATCCTAATTATAACTGAGAATTTTTCAAATATAATTCCTATTTCTAAGAAAGTTTAGTGGATAACACAATTGGTACTGGGTTCGAGTCCCAGAGTGAACATCAACTCTATGATGAAGAGTCCCAAAAAAAGACAAAACGTGAGTCCTGGATTCCACTGCCAGCCACTATCCATCTTTGCTTATAATGCTTGTGACTTAAGACAATATTGAGGCATTCCGCACAGGGTGCACGTATGCCAGTAAGAGACTGATTGATCGCAGTTCTAAAAATTAATTGGAAATTTTAAACATCCCTCAAATGCCCTGGTATGGCCGAGAATGGGGAAAGTACGCTCTCCCTATCGAATTGCCCTCACATGGCCACGCGTATATAGCCCCTGCCAGGGAAGTCCTACTCACTGCCTTCTCGTGGCGGGGGTGTTGTTTACGAAATTGAGAGGGCGAAAAGCGAATGTCCGGCGCTTTAACCGGATTCTAAACCAATGGTGCACATAGGCTCCAGTATCCTGCGGGAAAAAACGGCGTATGAACCAACTGCTGGTCACCGGCTTCCATGGGACTGCATCTCCTTACGTTGCTCCACTGCCTTGTGGATCAGACCTTCAGGTCGAAGGCTCGGGGAGTGGCCTCCTAAGAAAACCACGTGCTTCGATTTGGGCACCCGGGCAATATCACAGCCCTCACACATATCGAATGAGATTTGTGTGGCGCATATGTATTTGGTGCCTCCTTGTACCAATATCTGTGTTAAAATAAATAAATAAATAAAAATACAAAAGTGAACTAAGATAGATGTTCGTAAATGATTTTTATATAGCATCAACCATTTCTATAATAAAGTTTTGATATGTAATACAAATCTACAGGATCAGAATTTTGCTTACAAAATAAAAGTCTTTATAAAAATGAACTTTTCTCAATTGAAATTATTTCATTTAGAATTTTGTAATCGTCTTTTTTGTGCTCTCTATTTGTTTTCATGATGTTCAGAAAAAGTGGTTTTCTTTTTGGCACCTTTAATTATGATTGACTGCATATAAAATAATAACATTGATGATTATCAAATAATTTTTATAAATAAAAGTACAGTGAGTTAGTAGTAGTTGGATATGATAAACACAATAATCTCTATTGGCCTATTTTATGTAGTCTTTTATTTACAATAACTGCAAATATGAAATAATATGACAAAATAAAAGATAAAACAAGTTATTAAAATGAATAAGATCAATCTATTATGAAATAGGTAGATAAGTATAACAAAATCCTAACAATTGTTAATTATTTTTTTCCTTATGCAGCCAACCACTAGTCCACAGTTTGACCCATACCCCCAACTAATTTCGGTTTAGGCGACTGCGTATAGTGTGACAGTAACCCAAGGCTGAGTAAATAAACCTGCATTTTGTCAGTGGTAGAAAACTTTTTTTTCAACGAAACGAAAGTTAACAACTATACCACTCCCCTATGTATTTATAAGGATAAATCTGTGCTATTGATCCCATCATCTTGTATTCTCATCAACGTCATTATATAAAAATGCCAACGGTTGTAATCCACTTTAGATACTGTATAGCATTACATGTAATTAGTATATGATATTGCAGCCAACAGTTGTAGAGAATGAAAGATTTAGTATTCCAGTAATAACAATAACTATTATTTAGTAGTCTACATGCACATAAACTTCTAAATATTAATTCTTTAACTAGATGAAACGCTATCAAAATAGATTAACATAATCTTTATTATAATTTTGTTTTCTATCCACGGTCTTGTCTTCATATTAGGTTGATGCTATTCGTAAGGTTTTGGAAGAAGTGAACAAGCCTAATGGGTTATTTCTTAATTATATGGATCCGAATACAAAATCATGGTGTGGTAATGAAGCTGGTCTCTCTGCATCAGGTGATTCATTTTATGAATATTTATTAAAAGAATGGATTCGTACTGATCATAAAGATGTGAAAGCTCTTGAACTATACAAATCTAGTTTAGAATCATTCTTAAAAGTTGGTTTATTTCATAAAAGTCCTCAACATAATTTACTTTATGTTGGCAACTACAAGTATGGCACTATTTCCAATTCAATGAGTCATCTGGCTTGCTTTGTTGGTAAGTATCAACTGGGTTTTTTTTTATTTACTGATTATCATTTGAATATTAACAAATGAGAAATATTTGTTAAAACAATTTCGATAATGTAATTAGAAGACGAAGATTATCAGAACTATGTGATATATTAGCGCAATACATATACTTGTTAAGAGCATTTATATATAAAAATAAATGGTCAACTAGACTGGAAACGGGGTAAGAAGAGATAAGAATAATGATAAGAGTAACAATAATAATAATAATAATAATAATAATAATAATAATAATAATGTGAACACAGTTCGTAACCTAATCACTCTGGATAATAAGTCAATATTACCAGGGTAGGTTTAAGGTAAGAACAAACTGTTTTTGAACACACAAAGGGGGTTTGAATTTTCGTATGGCTAAGGCTTCAATAAACCTTAGTATACGCCCTTTTACACTTTTATGCAATAACACAAAAGCTGAGTTTAGATCAATATTTAGTTGAATGAAATTTCTTCTCACATCACTTGCGTATAAACACTTTCTGTTATCTTAACACGTTTTGGTTCCATAACACATACCTTGTCCTTATGTGAACAAAAACAATTTGTCATAACCTTGAATTTACCTTGTGATCCTTAAGTCATTCTATGCCCTAGGATAACGCGACAATTTCTTATTCTTTCTCTCCCCTTGATTATTTTCAAATAAATTTTTTTTGGTTGACCTTTATTATTTTTCATATTATTTTCATATAAAATATGTCTCTTACACATTAATGCAAGTACCTATTTATAAAAAAAATTCTTCACGTTGATTGGATGACTTATTCAGTATACAGTAAACCGAAGAACCTTGTACCTATTTATATTCGATAATTTTGTTGTTTGGTTATATTTTCCTTGAAAAAGCTTGGACCAGATTGCCAGGCGATTGGATTTACTTAAAATTCATTCGCTGAGATTTTTCAAATATATTATTCTTTTTAATCTTGTGACCTGTTTCAATTATATGTTTAGCAATAGATGACGATGGATGTTTATCCTCTGCTTTTATTGGGTCACTTGACTCTATTTGTTTCTGCAACCATTTAGGTACATGTTCACTCACCCTAATGTTGAGATCACGATTGCTCCTCCCTGTGTATGTGTGACAACACACACATTTAGATTGGTAAACACAGTGGGATGTGACACAATCGTTTTCATGTCTTTTAGGTTTTGAATGAAGCATGCACCTTGTTCTTTCTTTGATGATAACCTTTGCTGCGCAATACGTTTTATTGATGACTGATTTAAGTCTTTGTTTCAATAAAAGGCTATTTGATTCACCTCTGAACGGTAAGGTGATGTAGACAGGCTTTTTCTCTACCGAGGCTACAGTAAGTCTCTCTATACCATGGACTTTCCATCTGTTTATGATTTTCAGAGGATAGCCATTTTCTATTAACATTTATCCTCTATTGCTAAACATATAATTGAAACAGGTCACAAGATTGATCTAAACTCAGCTTTTGTGTTATTGCATAAAAGTGTAAAAGGGCGTATACTAAGGTTTATTGAAGCCTTAGCCATACGAAAATTCAAACCCCCTTTGTGTGTTCAAAAACAGTTTGTTCTTACCTTAAACCTACCCTGGTAATATTGACTTATTATCCAGAGTGATTAGGTTACGAACTGTGTTCACATTATTATTATTATTATTATTATTATTATTATTATTATTATTATTATTATTATTATTATTGTTACTCTTATCATTATTCTTATCTCTTCTTACCCCGTTTCCAGTCTAGTTGACCATTTATTTTTATATATAAATGCTCTTAACAAGTATATGTATGATCAGATTGTTCGAAATGTATTGCGCTAATATATCACATAGTTCTGATAATCTTCGTCTTCTAAGTACATTATCGAAATATTTGTTAGATCACCTCGATTCTCCTTCACATTTAGCAGTGGTTATCTTATAGTCTATAACCTGAATTCAATCACCTTACTACTCACCAGGTTGAGCTTTCAACAATTTCTTTTCGTTACTGAGACCGGAAATATACATGCGAGGTTTAACGATACGGACTTGAAATGACAAAATAACTGAAGAACTTGATTTCTGAGAAATATCAATAATTTTTTCAAGTAATAGAAATTGAGATGAAACAGTCGTATTGCCATTAATGAGAATAAGGTTCTAAGATTGGTATGATATCAGTTCTTGTATTTATTTGATAGACTGATGTAAATATTCAGGGATCTTAATATTGATACTTCGTGAATTAATGCTCCTTAGTTTCTGATCTTATGGTGTTGATTATTGTTAATTACTCTATTATTGTTTTTATTATGTAGGCGGTATGCTCTCTCTCGGTGCATCAGATAAAAATGATCCATGGTTTCAACGTGGTGTTGAAATTACCGATACTTGTAGAAGAAGTTACGATAGTGCATCAACAGGTCTTGGTCCAGAAACATTTTCATTTACTGATCAGTCTTCTGCTGTTGCGATTACTCAATCTCACAAAGTGTATCTTCTGCGACCAGAAACAGTGGAATCATATTTCTATTTATGGCGACTAACTAAAGATCCAAAGTATCGTGTTTGGGCATGGGATGTAGTTCAGGTAGCTGTGGTGATTATAAAATTTGGCATAAATTATTAACTCTTTACCGTCGTTTCTTCAAATTATCAGATGATACATTTTCAAAGAGTATGCTTATCTCAGCCTTATTTAAATGAACTCATCTCTAATCTAGTAATATCAGAAGACATTGTAGCTTCTCGTAATGAATTACATATATACCAGGCACAATTCAAATTTCGTAAATGTCATCATGCATATTCTCTAAATGCTAAACTCGATAACTGAAAAGAACTTAAAAAATATATACAATAATTTTCAATCATAAAGTTATTTGCTGCTAACATATAAGTTTTTTTTTTGATTACATAATTTTAAATATTATATTGACAGGAAATACAAATAAGATATTCTGATAAATTTGAATGAAAAAGATTATCTACCATAACTTAGTCATGCTATTTTTTCATTGTGAACTTTATATTCTTTCCCTCATTTTCTGACGATAACTATTATTCTGATAGAACGTAACAGGATTTTCTTTGTATTGTAGTTCGATAGTAATTAGCCGATTAACTAAGCGAATAGCTCAGTCATTAAAACACTTGGTTTTGACTCATTAAATCTGAAAGTCGCACCATCTAATTCTGTCTAATCAATCGGGTGGTATGATTAACCCTTACACGAATATTGTAAAAAAAACGGATTTCATATATCTGTAATTGACAAGATGCAGACTTCTCTGTTGAGATCCTCGTAGTTGTCTTAAAACCGTTGGTTGGAGACTTTGTGTCATTGCTCAGAATCGATGAGGATGGTGTAGGTGTATGCACTCTCTGTCTTCCTTTAAACCGTGAGAATAAAATTACTTTATACCTTTCTTTCTACAACCTAATTCTTTCTCCTTGCATCATATCCTTATATTCAATCTTTTTTCAGATATTTTACTATCATTGAAATAAGTGGTTCAATGACTTTGTTGATGTTGTTGTGCTAATGATGTGTGACATCTTGGACCGGTGCATTTATGTGCCTGGTCCTACGTTGTAGCTGACTGGCTGGTACTAATGAGAAAGGCGTACATCTAATCCTGATGCTGTCTGTGGGATTAGAACCATCTTCATATCCTAAGAAAACTGGCCGGGTTATGAATCTCGTTGAGAGCACCAGTTCCCGTCGGATTCCGGGGTTTCCTGTTGACTACCTTCAACCAACCAAAATCTCGGTAAAATTCACGTGATTTTAAAGCACCTATACTAACTTCCACATCGCAACTTCTTCAGTAGAATCTAATTACTATTTACAGGACCAGGCACATACAGCAGTAATCTCTTCTTAGTGATCGACCAATTGTAATGACTGTGATGCATATTTCTCTTTTAATCGTTTAATTTTATTTATTTGGTCTTTAATGTTTTTTGCTATGCGTTTATTGTTTCAGGCTATTGAAAAGTATGCTCGTACAAATGCTGGCTATTCTGGTTTACATGACGTTTACTCTACTAACTCTACTTTAGATGATGTTCAGCAGTCATATTTCTTAGCAGAAACACTGAAATACCTTTATTTAATATTTTCAGAAGATACATTATTACCGCTTGATAGATGGGTGTTCAATTCTGAAGCACATCCATTACCTATTCAAAATAAAGTCAAACTAACACCTGGCTAATCAGTCGGTATCATATTCCTAATGTTGGTGATAATAATAACTCCAATGTCCAGAAATTTGTTTTGTGCAAAGACGATATTTTCTTTCACCCCTCTGGGTTGTTTTTCTTCTGTTTTTTCTCTTCGTAGATTCTATAACTAGGTGCTCTATTTTCTTTCTATCGCAGTGTTTAAACGCTGCTTGTGTGCAATTACAGAAAGGAAGAAACAAGAGGAGTGTATATATACATATATATTTTCTATAACGATCATCAGGTGTGTATAGAACTTGTTTTTTCTCGTCGTTTACTTTACAGCTAAGAATAATGTAAGTAATTAAATGGGATTACCTGTTTCACAACTTTCCATGTAACATTGTGTTTGTCAGGTGAGAACAAAGTAATTCCCAGCGAATCTCTCTCGTTTCTTGTCACATTGTTCTTCAAAATTTTTTTAAGTCTCTTTTTTTCTTTACATTGTATCTCTTTTTCAGTCAGACTGTGATAATTTTTCTATTTAATGTCCTATAGAAATTAGATTATAGATAACGTTTTTTAATCCGAGGTTCAGTGTTGAGTATTCTTGTTCCTTTCCTTGATTCTTTCCTGATCTATACTATTTTATTCTGTCATCTAGTTTACGTCTAACCTTTTCACACTTTTCAACAGATTTCTTATTTTTTCTCTAACAATAATGTCTGTTTTTTTTCACTTTCAGGTGAATGAATTTCTTCTGATTATAAACAACACATATATATTTATATTTTATGCCTATACTTTTCTGCTCCGTGTAAATCTTTAGAAATTTTTATTTGTTTAACTGACCAACGTTGTCAGTCGTACGTTTCATTAGTGTGTAGTTTTGTTTGTTTGTGAAACTATCTGTGTTACTTTGCTTCCAGATGTATATAAATATATATAGTGGAACTTCACTTGTTGAATGGGTTAGTTTTTTGTTGAAAATATATGATTACTACATTTGGCCCGTTGAAGCATGTTAATGGTAGTGGTTAGGGTCTATAATATTGTTGTCAAATGCGTGGCACTAAACAAGACATGAATCTAGCATGTATTAGTTTTCAGCACATCCACTTATCTCATTAAAATTTTTCAAAGACTATAGATTGGATTGATGTATCTTAAGCCATCTACACTACTAACAATATATGTAACTACCAGGTTACTGTACTTTTTCACATGACTGATGACTCATAGAAATCCCAACTTTCCTAAACTTCCATTAGAAGACTACGTGTATAGTCGTTATGCACGTAATTTCATTCTGATTTACGAATAAAATACCAAGTCGCAGGGTACCACTGTGTTATAATCTCTTTCTTACAGTTATGACCCAGCTATTCCTATTGCTTAGTATTCTCGGACACCGATTCACTCGACAAGTCCCCAAATCAGAACACTGTTGGACAGGAAAGAGATTATATTCCAAATAACAAATTTAGATGGAAGTAAGAAGCACAATAGAGAAAACGTTAGTATATTTATGGTTTTAACATGAGAAGATTCTAGAGTATTCTCCATCTATCGACTAGTGCTGGTTGGATAAGAATTAGCCAATCAGCGTGCACCAAAGCAATTGAGCATGCTTAAATCCAGTCTATGTCCCGCTAACACCTCCCCTTTGAGCAGATTCGTAGGATCTGGTGTTAGGAGGACGCTTACGCTTCTTCTTGGGCCGCGACGTACGATTCGGTGGACAATGACCGTCTTTATGTCCATGTTTGTTGCACACCTGACATTTATGCTTCTTAAATAGACAGAATCGTACATAATGCCACTCACCACATAACCAGCATGCAATCGTTGGTTTGTTATGAGTTGTTATTGGCTTCTGAACCTTTAACCTAGTAATAGCATTGACACTACTGCAGGTTAAGTTAGGATTTGCCTGTTCAATCAACTCGTTGTTGTGTCTGATGCTTTGTAGCCACTTACACTCATCTGTCAATGTTCTGAGTGTGACGTTTGGGTCTTGATCCAGTCGAGCCAAAAGTCTAGTCCTGATCTCAGCATCTTGTGGTGACTGAAGAGCTTTGACGAATATTAAGCATTTAAGTTGGTCATCTGTCAACGAGCGTAACTTGAACCGTTCACATTCTGTTGACGATGTCTGCTAGAACGCCATATTCATCGGCTTAGCGTTTCACCAAATTTAGACACCGATATCGAATACTAAACAATGAGGATGACTCACCGAATGTCTCTGACAATTGCACTACCGTCTCCTCGAAACTGAGCTCTCGAGGTAACTTTAGCAATATATGGTCAGTATAACGTGCATGTTCATTGCTTCCCAACTTGCGTACCAACAGTCGAGTCTTCCACACATCGTCTTGGTTACAGAAATGTTGACTTGTTTGTTGAGTTAGTTACATTTTTATTACAAAACTGAATAACGTCTTATTAGATACAGGTTTTTATCTTTAATCAGTAAAAAGTTTCATAATTATTTATTTAAGACGATCAAATGACTTTATATTTCCAACAATAGTATCTTACTTTCAACTGACTCGGAATGGGTTTACCATAATCCTTTTTATTAACTATGCGAACAAAATAAATTTTCATTTAGATATACTCTGAAACATCACTGAAGATTTGTGCTTATGGATTTTCTAATATCTATTTCATTAGGTTCAAAAGTAATTTCTACTGCGGTCGCCTGTCTACACTAATAACACACTACAGTAGTGTAAATCTCGACGTTCTTATGTTTAATAGTTACTATAATTAAACGAAGATATAAATAGGACTCAGTTTTATGTTTGTTGTTATAGAGGGACGAATATTGTAACAGTTGAAACTGGTTGTCGAATTATTATTAATCATAACTTCTTCGTGCGATTACGGGGTAACTAGATTACTATGTATATGTGTGTTTATCATAAGCGTTCGCGTAACCCATAAATTACTATAATAAGACTTATTATTCTTAATTTTTTCCTATTCATATTTTCCATATTCACAGCCACCTGGCTCGTCAATATACTGTTGTTATTTTGTATTGTATGGCATGACGCAGTCCACTATGTCTGTATGTAATTCACATTTGTTAGAAATATAAGTATAGTAAAGGTTTGCTGTTGAATTTTCTACTCAAGGCATAACTCAGAAGCTTGAGGATGACGGCCTAGTAGGAACTTAACTGCATCGGCTCAAGGTCAGTAGTGCTGGTAGGGCGTACGACTGGTCAAATTGGAGACACTAAGCTATAGAGGCAATAGTAGACACAGAATGCACAACAAAATTAGAATTGTGATTGGTGGCTTGCCACATGATATTAGTAAGTAATTTTAAAACAAAATACTTAGTTGCTGTTTGGTCAGCCTTTAAAGTATATAATGATATTGTTTTCTATTCTTCATACAAACACTTCATCACATTTTTTGTGTTCATACTATTATTCCAGAAAGATATGTGATTTATTTTATCGACTTTAAGAATTTTTATCGCATAAAAACCGTCTCTAAATAACGAAAATAATTCTGATAATGCTAAAACATTATTTGCATCCATAATTAGTATTACTGGTTAATTAGTCAACATAAGTATTGAATCTAAAAAATTCTGTACTAGAGGAATGCGTTTTGACCACATTTATATAAGTTTTTCAACAATATTTCTTAAGATAATTGTTAGATAATTAGAATAGTTTATCAGGCTTATGAAGAAAAATCCATCTGTTCTTACTTTCTGCTTACTTCGATCAGCCTTATTTGATGTCCAGCCTATAGATACGTTTATTAATATACTATAATTCATATTGTAAAGACAGCATGATGAAATACTTTTTCCCTTCAAGTACTAGTTGTTTATCTTCAGTTTGACCAAGTAGTTTTGGCATTAAAGAGTATTACCTGTTGATTATTTACAAGATTATTGTGGGCATCAAATTTATCAAACTAAGTTTGCGTGTAATATCAAAAAACTATCAAACTGATTACCATAGAATCCAATCCTTAATATTTATAACAAAACTTTGTGATATGCCTAATGTACCTTTAGCTTTGCTATTTGACAAACACCATCAAGACTTCACTATGTGCTTGAAAAGAAATATTCACTTCACGATAAATAAATATTAAGAAATTTCAGTGAGATTTTTAATTACTATTTAACATTACCACAGTTGTATGTATATTTTCTCTTTCTATTCACTGTCGAAACAAGTTTTGATCATATTGGAATTCATGTATCAAATATATAAAATGCGAAAAGAAAATGTATCAGAGAAGATGAATTGTTTATAAACTTCTGTGAATATCAATAAACTGTAACTAGCTATTATTTAGATAGGTTTATTCCTAATGTTCACCAACTAAAAGAATATTTAAGATAAGTAAATGCTATGCTGGTTGGCGGCCTATGCTCCTCCACGAGGGGTAACAGGAGTAAGTAATAAGTAAGGTAAAATGCTTCCAAATGTTAAATGTTGGGAATACTTTAGTATAACCAAAAATATACTGTTAAATAAGTATTATCCCATCTAAATTAGACAATACATATTTTGTAACATAACTGATATTTAATGAGAATTTGTTATTTTATAGTAAAATAATTTTTTAGGAAGAATGAATCGTATACAAAATGTAATGAATAGTTGGTTAAATCATTATACTTTTTTATATCATTATCATTATTATTATTATTATTAGCTTTATTCAATATTATAATTTTGGTACAATATAGAATTCTCAGCGCAATGTATTTCAACAAGTTTCCGTTTCTTTCTTCTTGGTCGGTCCTGGCGATAAATATTGAGGAATCGCCAGTTAGATGTTAGCACTTCAGTGAATGAACAACTGAATAATGTACATTCTTTTCGTTGTACATCGCCAGCAACCATATTGTCTCTTATTGAGTTTTCTGTAACTTTGACAACGAAAGGTTGTAAACTTTTCAGAAACGCAACAGAATAGGTTATGCGATTAATAAACATAATAATGTATTAAAACAAACAACAATAGATAACTTGTTGAAATATCTAGATGGCAGGAACAGGTAGCCCAGATGCTCAAGCAGGCCGCCCAGTAAAGAGATGAACGAATCATTGATGTAAGTATGTTCAACAGGTAAATGGGATATACAAATGTTATTTTAAATTAATCTTAAAAATAAATGTGTTATACATTTTTTGATATACAGTGATAAATCATTTTATTACATTAAAATCAATCATTCTTGACGAATTCTGTTTCCTTAATATTAGAAACTAAGTGATGAAATTTCAAAATCACTGTACAGCATAGGTTCTAAATGTTTAATTCAATGAACTTTCATTGAATGTTCCGAAATAAAGTTGGGATGAATATTGAAATTGTAATTAGGTTCTGTAACATTTTATTAACTTCAGAAACATGTGCTTGACATATTCACAAGCAACCTGCACAAATTGATGTTAGAAAACTTAGTTTTTCTGGACTGGGAGTATGTACTTCCGTCCCCCTCCACAAAAGAATAATTACTCTCCATTTGTTATAGTACACCCTGTTTCATTACGGTTTTGAATGTTCAAAACCTCACTAAAAGTCCTGCTTTTCATCTTCCTCATCGTTTCACACTACCTCAATCTTCTGCACTGATTATTTCTCCTAATTCAGGTGATCACTAGTTTGAAATTACAACAAATCCACATGTCTTGTGCTTCCGTTTATACAGGAGATCAATCTTATTCCCTCCTGTTTTTGCATAATCTCTGTTTTATTAACAGCCCTTTCCTGAGTACTCGACTCACAATAAAATTATAGATTATGGACAAGCAAAAGTAACTCATAACCTGAATAAAACAAAGATTGACGCAGAGTAATAAGAATTCATTTTTATTTCTTTAGTTTTCACAAGCTGTTTATAACAGTATTCGTATTGAAATATATCATAATATTTTTATATGTCTGAGCGAATTCCTACAAACCTGTGAATAA